TTTTATTTTTTAAAATATAAGGGTTAATTTCACCATAGACTTTTTTCATTTTTTTGAAGGAGCCAAGGAATTTCCCTTGTAACCTCAGAACTCCTTACTCATTTACTAACAATGCCTGAATCCCTTTGATATTTTAAACTATCAGACCACCTGACCTTCTTGGAAAGATAAAGGCTACCTTAATTAATTATACTTGGAAGCTACATTAAAATCATTTACCATTTGGAAGCTTTAAAAATGGAAAAACACCTTTTTTGTTGTTGATGATGTTATGTGGAAGAGGTGGGGGGAATCTTTATAATAAATAAATTAAGCTTGCCTTATAGATTTTTGAACGCTTTACCAAACATTCACCAAATCTAATTAAAATGATATAGCAACTGTGGTCCCTCTGGGAAAATTGTTCTCAAAATTGTAACTCGTATTCCCATGTTGCCATGGCTAGATTAAGCCAAAGATCTAGATTCTATATCCTATGTAACCAAAATGAGTAAAAGAACAGAAAATTGATCTTATGAGAACCAAGTCTTATGTAAAGGACCATGAAATGCAGAAGAAATGAAACCGCCTATTACTGAGGATAATGATCAATTTTTCCCTAAATTCACTCAGGAGAAGAAAAGAGGCAACAGAGATGGATATTTTAAATTCCCTATGAGGAAAACTCCTAATAATTAGGCTGTTAAATAAGGGAACATAATTTTGAAATTGACTTAAATATTTATCTAAATTCTGATTGCACAAATAAGTAACAAACAGATCTCTAGGAATCATCTTATTTTCTCAGGAAACAAAATACCTGCATAACTTGTATTACGCTAATCTTGGGTTAGCCTAATCTCTGCTGTAAATAAGTACACTATGTTGTTTTTTTTTTTTTAAGCTGAGACTACAATGCAGCCATATCTCTCTCCTTATACAGAAGTTCATGTAACAGACACTGTTACACTTTATCAATGTGGGAACAGATTTCAAAGGAGATTTAACAGTTTTATATTCCCAAAAATATTTTAAGTAGGACACATTTATTCCAGTATGTTTGCTGAAATATGGTCCCATCTAAAGGCAAGTATAAGTGGATTAGAAACTCAGAACTTTCATCCCTTTTTTGGCTAATTTTCTCAGTGAAGTCAACAAAAATGTGAATGTTGCTCCAGCATCAGCTTGCCTGAGGGAAGCTTTTCTCTGAAAGCAAAGCTTGAGTAAATTTTTTAGACGAATGCAGAGTCCCAAACTTGAGACATACTATGCTCTAAAAATTCATGAGTTTTGCTAATTTGTTCAATAAAATTTATATTTGGGAAGAATATTTTTATCCCAAAAAACATAATAATTAACCTATTATATTATAACTAGAAGCCCAGTGCACAAAATTCATGCACTGAAGAGGCGGGGTGTTCCTTAGCCTGGCCTGCACCCTCTCACAGTCTGGGAACCCTTGGGGGATGTCCAACTGCTGGCTTAGGTTTGTTCCCTGCAGGAAGTGGACCTAAGCCGGCAGTCAGAGAGATCAGACCTAAACCAGCAGTCGGACATCCCTCTCACAATCTGGGACTGCTGGCTCCCAACCACTCACCAGCCTGCCTGCCTGATTGCCCCTAAGCACTCCCAATCACCTGCCAGCCCAATCACCCTTAACTGCTCCCCTGCTGACCCAATTGCCCCCAACTGCCCTCCCCTGCAGGCCTGGTCCCTCCACAACTGCCCTACCTTGCAGGCCTGATTACCCACAACTGCCCTCGCCCTCCCCTGATGGCCATCTTGTGACCACATGGGGGTGGCCATCTTGTGCGAGGATGTGATGGTCAATTTGCATATTACCTCTTTATTATATAGGACAAGGGATGCAAATTTGCATTTGGGGACAAATTAATAATTTATTTAAGTACAATTTTATCATGTCTAGGTTCTCACACAAAGTACTACATTATTAAAATTGTAAAATATTTCTTTTGCACTTTGAAGGGTATTTTTCTCTACACTATAATATATCAGAACATGTGTGATCTAAGATGGCTTCTGAAGAAGCTTCAAATAAAATTCTTTCAGGGGTGAAAAGAAACCAAAAATAAGCTAAAACTAGTGTTTCCTTTTACTCGTGCAATAATTGACTGGAGTCATGCTTGATTTAACCCTTCTGAAAGAAAGAATGAGAGAACAGTCCTCCAACAGGAGTCAAGGTTGGCTTTCCTGGACTCACCTTCTGACTTAAGAGTTCAGGCAGAATGTCTCCCTGTTACCTACTTGTGCTAATACATCCTTGCTTTGTTCACAGTACAGTTTTGTTTCTGGAAAATATGCCTTGATTTGACAGTTCCCTTGAATACCACCTCCCACAAGTTCTGAGCTAACATGGAGAATCCGCCACAATTCATGCTCTTTCCCACGCAGAACTGCCATATATGAATGTCATTCTAAACTCTATTCGTAAAATAAACCCTATGATGTATCCAGCTTACACACTGCTCTGAAAAATCTAATTTCCACTCCATTTACTTTATATTAGTGAGAGATAGCATAATTAAAGAGAATCAGCTCACGTTAGACCAAACAGCATAGATGCATGTGATAATTTAAGTCTACCCCTATCTATAATAATAAAAGCATAATATGCTAATTACACCAGACGTCATTCTGGACAACCTTCTGGATGAAGCCGGGGCTGCGAGGGAAGCCTGGGTCCTAGGTGCCTGCTGGTGGCCAGAGAGAAGCCGGTGCCAGCAGCCGCGGGGGAGGAAGGCCTACTCTTGCACAAATTTGTGCATTGGGCCTCTAGTCCTATACAATAAAAGGATAATCTGCAAATTGACTCTAACGGTGGAATGACTAGAATGATCACACAGCCAGTCACTATGAGGGGCACTGACCATCTCTCGGTCCCTTTCCCTGGCCAGCAGGCTCCCATCGCCTGATGGCAAATGGGGAACCAAGGGTAGGTGGTGGGGGATGCACACAGTGCCAGGACAAGGCCCCTGCTTTGCTGGTCACCCACACACAGAGGGTGACCTGTGGCAGGGGTGGGGCCGGCGAGTGGGTGGGAACGACCAACCTCTCAGTCTGTCCCCCAGGCTGGCAGGCTCCTATCGCCCAATGGCTAATGGGGAACCGGGGTAGGCAGTAGCTGGGGGCAGGGCTGACTGCAGGCAGCCGGGGAAGATGGCCCTGATTGCAGGCCAGGCCTAAGGACCGTACCTGTACACGGATTTCATGTGCCAGGCCTCTAGTCATAAAATAAAAGAAGAAAAAGAACTATAAATAATAGGAAAAGAAATGACCTAATCTTGAGATGTATTTTATTATCATCTCTTGCTTTATATAAGCAAATCTAGGACACAAACGAACAAGCAGACACTTTTAGTATGAACATACCCAAGCATTCCTGAGCACTGTCCTTAAAATAGAGGAGGATTAAAAAACAGAAGTTTTCAGATGATGGCTAGTTACAGGATCAGACTACTACAAATAGCACTTACATTTTGAACTTCTAATATGATGAACAGCTGCCCAAAATAGCACATATGTTTTTATTTTACAAAATGCAAAGTTGACTATATAGACAAAACTAATTTAGAAGAGAAAATATGTATCTTCTCTAATAGATATAATTCCATCAAAATTTTTATTTACCTAAATTTATATTTATGTTAAACATAAAATGACACAGAGCTCCTCTTTTGCTGATAAATGTACACCTATCATACACCTTTTTAGTCAAATAATGTCTTCCTTTAATGTCTTTCTTATTAATAAAGAAATATCTCCGCACAACCAAGCTAACCATCCCAAAGAATTCAAAATATGCAGGCTTGCCCTGACTATTTAATTTTACTTTACCTAAATTATTAGTGAGAGAGAGAGAACCTCAGTAAAAGTTATAAACCAAACAATATAATTAACAAGCAGCACTTATCTAAATAATTCTATTGTTCAAAGAGTTAACATCTGCCCAAATCAATTTCCTTTACATTTACCCCCACAGCAGGTTCAGACTTTGCAATTACCCTTCTTCTACATACTGGGAATTTGTTGGATCCTGTGGACAACGACAAATGCATCAGATAGCCCCACTTTCACTGGGTGATTGGTTGAACTTATCTGCGTGACCAAAACAGGAATCTGGAAAAGCAAAAGCAGATTGCTATGTGTTAGAATTTAATTCCACCTTGCTTAGTAAATAAAATCAGGCAACGGAGATGAAGAACTGCAGAGAGAACAACTGGAACATAAATCTGAATATGACAAACACTCCTAATATTTACAGTTTAAAAAAGAAGGACACATTGAAAATATACTAAACAAAATACAGCATTATAAATGAGGCAGACTATTGAACTCTAATTTTTTCTAGACTTAGAAGAGTCTAATAATAAGGATTACTAACTTTACTATCATTTTTATAGGAATAAAAATGGGAACGAAAACATATTCAAGAAATAAAAGGACTAGAAACAAAAAGAGAAAAATAAATGTACCCCCAAAATCTTTAAGTAGAATAAATAGGTTGTGGGCCATCTGTGAGTAATTCATTAAAGAAAGTATTAGATCAGACATTGTTATATAAACTTCAACAAATGGTATAGCAATAAGAAGGGAAAAATAAACTGGAGAGAAGATGGTATATAAGAGCTGTTCTGCTCATTTTTTGCCCCTGGCATCATAATATTTAAAAGGATCATTTTGTTGAAATTGACCAATTAAGAGAAAATTTTAATGTTTCTGAAATTATTTGAAACATGTAAATGGAAGATGAGATTTTCCCTTTATGTACCAAATCAATCCTTTCTCACACAATGGCATATTACAATTTTATATCAGTTTGTCCAGCATTAAAAATTATTCTGGTATTTGGACAACAGAAACAAAACGAACCACAATTTCTGTTTCGAAGAGAGCATTTACTAAATTAAACTCTGATATACTGTATTTGGTTATTTACCAACCTATATTCAGTATCAATATATGAATCCCTTTTCCTAATGGGCATTATACTCAGTTTACTCAGCATTATACTCCATGTGGAGGAGTGCTGCTAAAAATGTAATTTACATTTAAGACTGATTACAGTTAAAGATGAAAAGACAAAAGGATGGATAAGCATAGAAAAAATGCAAATTCAGGTTATACTTTGTATATCCTAATAGGACAAAGTCATAATTTTTAAGCAGTACTATTAACAGATGCCTGCCTAGAATAATTATTAAAGCTTTGCTACTGGCATTTGCCACTTGCCTTCATCCCGCAACATCTATGAGTGCAGCTTTCTTCTGCTAGGTGTGAAGTATTTTCCCAGATAATTCTATGATAATTAGTGTATTTATTTCCTTCTTTTTTATTGCAAGTCATTTTCTTTTTATTATTGAATTTATTGGGGTGACATTGATTAATAAAATTATATAGCTTTAGGTATACAATTCTATAATACATCATCTGTATATTGTATTATGTGCTCACCACCCCAAGTCAAGTCTTCCCCCCCTCCACCCAAACTCAAAGCAGACCTTGACTTTTTATTGCTAGCAATTAAAAAATCTTATTGTTATTATGAATATTATTTTTCCCCAGAGTTTGTTTTCCAGCGAACATGGCTTGGTTGCTGCACACCTCCTAGTATAATATCATTCCCCTTATGTTCAGATTTTCCATTCCACCTTTCCTATCACTTTTCCTTATCTTTTCCCTTTCCTACCATCCTTCATTTGATTTGTTTCTTCACCGATTTCCTTCCTTGCACTGCCTTCCTTTATACTTGGTCTTGAAGTCAAACACTCTCCCCTGTGCTTTTTATCTGTGGAGGATCCATTGCAGTCATGGCCTCCAATCAATGTCCTCCTGTATCCACGCTTTTTACTTTTTCACTTGGCCGTCCTCTTCCACTTTAACTCGTGGCTCAGTGATATTGCAAAAGAAGATAACAACAAACATGAAGGAAAAAAGAGCCCCAAAAAGTGCTTGCGCATTTCCACCTCGTTGCAGGGCCCCCTGCCCCTGCCAGGAGAATGTCCCCTGCTGGTCTGCTGCAGACATGAGAGATGTGGAGAGTTACTCTCCTTCCAACAGAGGTCATCCTGGACCTGCTAGCCCTTACCCACTCCACCTGGCACCTGAGTGAGCCCCACTGAGGTCAGAAGAGTACCACCCAGATCAGTGGAACCACCGAGTTGACCCACAGGCATCTTGTGAGAAATAAGACAGGTGGTTGTTTTAAACCACTGCATTTTGAGGTGATTTGTCATGCAGCCTTGACTGATTGCTTTTTGGTGTTTTTAGGAATGAAAAGGCTGGAGCAGGAGTAGTTAAGGTGTCAGAGGAGATGGGAGTGGTGGCGGCAGGTCACAGGGAGCACGCGTTCCCTGAAAGTTATGGCGATGACTTTACATTTTATTCCAAGTCATATGGGGAAGAGTTTAGAGGGTTTTGAACAGAGGAAAGAAGTGCCCTTACATGTGAAAAAGATCCCACAGGCTTTTGTGTGATCAAGACTGCAGGGCCAAGGGGTAAGAGAGAAAGGAGTTAAGACAGCATCTCGTGTGTCCAGGTAAGAGATGAGTCGCTGGGACTACACTAGAGTGGCAAGTGTAGGAGGTGAAAATGGAACAGAAAGATAAATTCTGGATGAACTATGAAGGAATTGCTATCAAGACATGCCACAAATTTAGTAAGGAGAGTGAGACAAAGAATAAAGTCAGCCATGCCACCAAGACTTTGGGCCTAACTAGCAGGAAAAATGAAGTCATGCTTTTCACCAGGGCTGCCACGTGTGCACTCGGTTTATTCCCGCTGCAGGCCATGAGTGGTGTGCCCTGGGTGTGCAGAGGAGGCCTGGGCAGCTCTGACGGGCACTGCCATGCTCTGAGATGGAGACTAGCAGAAGAAGGGTTGGAAAACGATGATAGCTTTATGGCAAGATCAATGGCTTCAAATGCTTCTCTTTAAAATTTTATAGAGTTCATGAATAAGAGCCTAGGCTTTCTAAAACTGTGGTATTTTATCCTGATTAAATATTAAAATGAATAAGAAGCTTTTGATTCCCCACATCTTCCTAGAAGCTACCTAGATCTTTTACAAAATAATTACATATCAGGTTTTGCAAAAACCGCTTCCGTCAATTGAATTAAATGACTAATGTTGCAAAAGATTAATGAGGGAGAGATAAACAACTCTAGGCTTTCTCATAGATTTCCTTCAGAAACCTGTCTGCCTGTCTCCACCTGATATTGTCATTATCGTTTCCACTCTGCCTTATTGGACTGTAATCTTTTTACTTCTAAATATCAAAGGCATGGGGTTGTTCTGAGAAAGGATCACTCATTCGCTCACTGCAGCCAAGGAACTGAGCTGTGCCAGCATTTGGAGCCAGTCAGACCATTTCGCAGGTTCCCACGTCAATGATTAGAGACCGTTCAGATGAACCAGGAGTGCTGTGAAACTGCATTTAAAATGTGCTGCTTTTTTATTAATATCAGCAAAGCAACTGCATGTGTATGAGTAAATAAACGATCAGATAGTGAACAAAATGAGCACTAGGACATGTTTGTCATATTGTCGCAATCATCTATTCTTTGGAGAACTCTGCATTCACAAGGATTTGAAGTCCACAGCCAGAGAAGCCATGGCCAAGGATGATGTCCAAGTTCAAAAATTCTAAAAACTTTGCTATGAGAAGCTATTTGTTATCCTTTCTGCAAATTCATATTTATCTGGAAAATGTCTCTTACATTAGTTCATAGGGATGTTAGGAAACATGAAATTATATACTCTTAACTATGTCAGCTTTTTTTTTAAAAAAAGAAAGAAATATAGCTTCATTATTTTCATGTACCTATAATAGTTGCCTTTTATGATTAAAGCAAAACTCAATTTTTACTTGGCCTTTGTATGATTTGTACTGAATCATAAATTTCTGAGGCTGTTTTACAATTACATTCCTCCACAGAATAGAGATAGAAAAGAACCATTAGTGCCAGTTAAAATATGGCTGCATTTTGGCTTATACTACCATTTATACATTCTTTTTTAAGTCTTTTAATTTTTATCCCATTTAATAAGAGATAGATAAGTTTATTATTTAAATAAGCATATGTTCTCCCATAAATGACATAGTGAAGCACATTAAGCCAGATGCAGGAAAGACCTGCAGTCACTAGACAACATTAAGGCAGGGAGGCTACTAGGAGTGAGCCAAGGCAGGGCACAGCCCACTGGCCTTGGGAGGCAAGTTCAAAGCCAGGAGCTGCTCCCTGTTCTGCACTGTGGCATCATTCACTGGGACACAAGGGCCCAACCCAATACCTGAAATGGGAACTTTTACATCCGTCTCTAAACAGGGAGGCCACAGCATGCTGCTTGGATTAGAGGTAATGGGATTTTATTTTCCTGTCTGTTGTGTCCTGCAAACCTCGCCAAAACATTCATTTGTTTCCATTATGGACCCAGCTAGCTATCTGGTCAGCAGCTCAGCATCTCAGCAAGGGCTTGATTGTATAGCATGTGTGCCAAAGTATGAGTCATATGCCTATCGGAACGTAACCAGAAAAGAATTACTCTAAGATCATTTTTGTTCACTCTTTTTCTTCACTCGCTAATCAGCAATATGCTATCTCTCTCCATACATATTGTATATTGATTTAAACCAAAGCTTACTATTTTACCCATTCTCACCTGCATCCGACCCTTAACTTTCTACCTCATCTTCCTTAAATATCTGCTCTGGCTTCGCCATTACTAAGTAGGGCATCCAATTTTACAAAGCCATACTCTCTTTTATTATTATCAAAACAACACATAAAGTGCAGATTGTTAGTTCTTAGTTGTCTAAAAACTACATTTGACTAGAAAGGCTTTCAGTTAAATTTGACAATATACAAATCCATTTGCTTTACTGTATATCACCAATATTTCACAGAATTATTTTAATCCCCTTTTATTTTACAGTAACTGACCTCTCAGAGGCCAGGTATCAAATAATGCACTTGATGGCATGAAAGCAAAAGAGAGCCCCATGCTGAAGGTACATTCTTAGCGTCCCTCCTGCCCCATCTCCACAATCATGCCCTGCAGAACATCTGGAAGGGGAGAAATAACAGCATAAAGCTGATCAGTAAGGACACTCCCTATAT